CTTTGGCCCTTGAAGTAGACTTATTTGTTGAGTTTTGTTTTGTATTTAGTGACTTTATGATTGTTGTTTTTATTTTCCTTTCCCGATCAGAGATAAACAGAAAAGAGTTTTTTGATTGTCTTAATTAATAGATCTTTAAATTAATATAAATAAATAAAATTAAGCAATCATAAATCTAAGTTGCTTAATAAATGTTTTTTTATATCTATTACTAATAAACTTTTCAATTAATATGAATAAAATAGAATTGGTATAGTAAGTGTTTATGAACTTGAATTGCTTTAATTAATAAATATTTCATACCTATCTACCAAATATCTACTTGATTAATTAATTTTTAAATTAATGTGAAAAAAAAAATAGGCAGTAAGTTAAGTATTTATGAACTTAAATTAATTTAATTTTTTCATGCTTACTTATTAAATTAAGTAATATTAAAGAAAACCAAACTTTGGGACTTTAAGTTTATTATTCATAATTTACTTGACCCAGCTCTGATCAATGATATATAATATGCAATTAAAACTCACATATAATATATATCTCTAAACAGAAATTAGTCTAGTAAATGATAAATAATAAACTTAAAAGCTAAAGCCTGGCTTTCTCCTAATGTTACTTAAATATTCAAACTTTAATAGCTTATTTGATACTTATTCAAATAATTTGATAAATAAATATTCATCAAACTCATTAAATTTAAATTAGTAAAAAAACTTATTTTAATGCTCAATAAACCTTCATACTCTCTAAATTAAATGTTCAGATAGCTTATTCTAAATGCTTCAATGAATAAACTTTTTTATATCCTATTCAGAGGCACTGAAAAATAAATTGCAAATAAATTATTATACAATTTCAATCAACTAAAATTGTTAAAAAAAACAATTGCAATACAATTAAATAACAATAAAGTTGCTATAATATAAGAGTTTTGACTTTAAAATACTTTTTTTGAAACCAAAAAAAAATTGCATCCATCTGCAGATTTAAAAAGCCTCTATGCAGCACTTGTTCAAAACTTTTGTACTTATTGAAACCTATTTAAAAATAAAGACTTAAAGCATTATTTTGATATATGTCTTTGAAAAGAAATGTAAATTATGCAGGTCATTAAAAAAAATAAATAGATTAGTAAATATATCTTTATATGCATATATGCATATATTATTGCATCATATAATCTATTATTTTAAGTTATTATTGTAATTAATTAGATAATTGTTATTGCATTACTAATTAATTAATTAAGATCAAATACGTAGTTGCAATTAATTACTTCCAAAATCAATTATTCAGTATGCCTATCTTATTAGTGCTAATAAAATAGAATTAGTATTTATTAACTTAAATTTTAATTAATAATTATTTTTATATTCATCTCTAAAATATTTACAAACTAATTCGAAACATATATAGTTTATCCAGATAATCCAGGACTTGAGTAGAAATTTTCTTAATGAATACTATCTTTATACATAACTTAAAGTAATTTAATGCCTAATAAATTAATTTAAATAAAATTAAAATAGAAAAAGAACTTATTATCTTAAATACTTTAATTAATAAATGTTCCTAGTACCTACTAAAATATTCATGAATTTAAATAGCTAATTTTTAAATACGTTAATTAATAAATATTTTCTTAATTCTTTAGTTAATAAGCATTCTTTATTCATCTGTTAAATAATTTAAATAAACTAAAACTGATAAAGGATATTTTACATTATTTTAACTACAAATAGAAATTCACAAAAAATGGCTTCAACTATAAACAGAAAATCCTAAAAAAAAAAAGGTTATATTAGTTAAAATAAAATAAGTTTAATAAATAAATAAAATAAAATCATAAAATAATAATAATAATAATAATAAATATAATAAATAAGATTTACTAAAAAATTATTCACAAATAATCATTTATTAAAATTTTATTTATTTATATCAATTTAATTTTTTATATTTAATTAAATTGTAACATAATGAAAGTGAAGGAGGCCTCTAATATAGAGATATAAGTTTCTATTCTTTTAACATCACCTGTTTCTTCAACATACCAGTACTTATCATGCACTCTTTTAGTTAATTCTGCCATAGCAGTTCTTCGATTTTCAGTATTTTTTTGCTGTTCTGTCTTCCTATATTCTATAAAGAACTCATGACTTTCATAAACCTCAAATCCACTTTCTTCAAACATTTTTTGGAACACTTCTTATACATTGATTATCAGCAATTTGGTACTATACATATGTTTATGAAAAATATGCTTACAAAACAATAAATATTGATTGCAGAATAAGCAATGACAATCAAGAGAAGTCAACTCAGATGCATCTTTTTTTTTCTTAAGCCTATTTATTACAATGCAGACTTCTTTAATCAGCAGTTGCTAAAATAGAAAGAGAAACTTGTAGATTTCTTCGAAAATGTTATTATCAACACTGTAAGCAGATATTTTTTTAATATAAAAGTCAAAGGCAACACTCTCAGATTCAGATCTTTTTTTGTAATCAATATTAACTATATCGGGAAATTTTTTTTACAGAAATTAATTGATATATAGCATTTAATCGAGATATATCATTTAAAAATTAACGATATATATCGATAAACAGGTTTATTCTCGATATATATTAAATATTGATGCAAATCGATAATAAGGTA